CTTGCAGCCCCGGGGCCCCGCCCCGCGGTGAGTCACCCGCCCCACGCGCCCGCCCCGCTTCCCCGCCTCCCTCTCCAGGTGAGAGCCGCCCCGGTGCTCCAGCGGGGGACGCGAGGCGGGGACTGGAGTCAGGCGGGGTACCCAGGGAGGACCGGATGTTGCCGACGGGATGACGAGACTGGACGTGAACGCCGAGAGGGATACCAAGTCAAACCCAGAGCTTCCCCCGAACCAAAGACAGTTAATAACAAACACTGTCCTGGCGCTACGCCTGGCACTTTACTTTTCCAGGACTTTTTCAAGCTCTTTGAAGGTCTGTGTTCTGTGGACGAGTGTTTTGCTTGCTAGTGTGTGCACCACGTGCGTGCCTGGTGCCCGCGGAAGTCCGAAGAGGGCTTCGGATCCCCAGGAACTGGAGTTATGGATGGCTGTGAGTGTTAGAGCAACAGGTGCTCTTAACTGCTGAGCCATCTCTCCAGCCCGACGCGTTTTTTAAACTAAAGTGCTTCAGTTTTGATTATTATATATTTTTAATTACTTTTTATGGCATGAGATTATTAAGGAATTACGTCATTTCCCCCTTCCCGCCCCTCCCTCAATCCCTGCCATATACCCCCTCCTTGCCTTTCAGAGTCATGGCCTCCTCGTCGTACATTAAAGAACAGTAGTGATAAATCCAATTTCTTCGAAAATTTAGGGAACGTCTTAGAAACAAAGGACAGTTTATTTTGCTGGAAATGAATCCAAGGCATGCTCTTTCTACCGTCTTAAAATAATTGTAATGACCTGGTGATTTTTATTAACTATTAAAATGTAGTTGGGAGAGTGAATGCCTAGAATCTTGCACAAGACCTGAGTTTGCTACTCAGCGCCTATATGATGGTTCACGAACACCTGTACCTCTATTTCCAGGGTATCGTTTTCCAGGGTATCGGCTGCCTTTCTGAACTCTGCTAGCACTGTGTGCTGACAGTTACATTCAGGCAAACCAATACGCATACCAACATACACATAGTTTTAAAACACCGATATATTTGTGAGGTTCTATACCCAAATGTGGTCCTAAAATTACTCTCAAAATACTAATTTCATTTCTAAATTTGTGTGTGTGGGGGGGGTGGTTTTGTGTGTGGGGGAGTGGTTTTTTAGATTTATTGATTTTGTGTGTATGAGGGTTTTTCCTGTAGACGTGTATGTGTATCACCTGTGTGCCTGGTGCCCACGGAGGTCAGAAGGAAGAGTTAGCGATCCTCGGGAACCGGAGTTAACAGATGGCTGTGAACCACCATATGGGTACTGGGAACCAAACCAGGTCCCCTGCAAGAGCTGCAAGTTCTCTCAACCATAGAGTCATCTTGGCCCGCCCACCTCCTTTTTTGAGATAGGGTCTCTATGAAGCCGGCCCTGGCTGCCTTTTATCTCACTGTGTAGATCAGGCTAGCCTGGCCTGAAACTCCCAGCTATCCACCGGCCTCTGCCAGGAGTAAGGGCTGCTGTTTTCGAGACAGGTTTTTATGTAGTCCCGCGGCAGCTTACTACGTGGCCAAGGATAACCTTCAGCTTTCCCTGTATCTACTTCCCAAGTGCTGGAGTACAGGTGTACACCACGCTTAGCCTCCTGTGAGCACTCTTACCTAACTCTTCCAGTATGAGAATGCCTTAGGGGCTGGCAGTATGCTCAGAGGATAAAGGCTCCTGCTCCTTTTATCATCCAGGGGTCTGATCGGCTTCATTTTTCTCTGCCAATCAAGGGTTTAAAAGGCAGGGAAAAAAAAAAAATCTCAAGTGAAACCAGAAGCAGCAGGGGAAGATCTCAGACACAACAGACAGAATCAGCCAGGAGTGGGAAAAGGCTTTTCTTAGGGGAGAGGAAACATCAGGAGCCCAAAGTCCTGGGTCTCCTCCAGGGCTGGGTTTTATGGGTCTTTGGGGGAGGTCCTCATGCCCTAATTTGGGGTTGGTCAGTTTGAACAAAGACGGCGAGGCTGATAGGCTCAGAACTTTGTGGCAAACTGTTCAGATCCAGTCTTGAACTCGTCAAACCGGTCCGCCCGCAGGGGGGCCTACGGGCTGGAGGAAAAGCTGGCCCGGGCGCCTTTAGCTGCCAGGCTTTTGTCTCAGGTCGGGAAGGCGAGGAAGAAGCCGGAAGTTTGCCCTCTTCATCCGCTTTTTGTGGGCCCCTTCCCTAAATGTCTGCCGGTCAGAGATCCTCACTGAGAACCTGGTGACCTAAATTCAGTCCCTGGGACCCACGGGGTGGAAGGAGAGAGCCAACCCCCACTAGTTAACCCTTTGGCAGGCAGGGCACTCCTCACTAAAATGAGGAGGGTGAAGTTTTTACAGAAAGTGTTAGACTAGGTATCTCTACAGAGAGCACGGATAGAACTTTGGATGCAATATTCTTTCTAGCATTTCAAGAATAGCCTCTAACTCCCTGCCTGCTTCAATCTCTCAGTCAGCTCACAGCTCAGAAACTGCACACACTTCCAGCTCTCTGGGGTTGTAGATGGCTTTAAAAATGTGTTTGTCTAGCCGGGCGGTGGTGGCGCACGCCTTTAATCCCAGCACTCGGGAGGCAGAGGCAGGCGGATCTCTGTGAGTTCGAGGCCAGCCTGGGCTACCAAGTGAGATCCAGGAAAGGCGCAAAGCTACACAAGAGAAACCCTGTCTCGAAAAACCAAAAAAAAAAAAAAAAAAAAATGTGTTTGTCTAGCATGCTTGAAACCCTGGGTTTGGCCTCCAGCATTTCATCGGTGGCACAGGCCCACAATCCCTGCATTGGGGAAGGATCAGAAGTTCAAGGTCACCCTCAGCTAGTTATGCTGTTGGAGTCCAGCCTGGGCTATCTGAGATCCTGTCTCTAAAACACGAAACAGGGGCTGGGGATTTAGTTCAGTGGTAGAGCGCTTGCCTAGCAAGCACAAGGCCCTGGGTTCAGTCCTCAGCTCAGGGGGAAACACACACACACACACACACACACACACACAAAATTGGGCATGACGGCACAGGCTTTTAATCCCAGCAACCAGGAGGCAGGGGCAGGTGAGTCTCTGAACTTGAGGCTAGCCTGGTCTACATATTAATATGCTTCAGGACAGCCTGGACCACATAGAGAGACCCTGTCTCAAAAAAAGACCATAGAGGAGGAGTCTGTCATGAAAAGCAAATGGCAGCAGAGGCATCTACCTCCCTTGAGGGGTTATGTGCTGATTCCTCCATTTTATCACTGACAAATGAGAAAGGACTAAATGGACAATTATTTGTTTTTTTTATTGTTGTTTTATTTGTTTGTTGAGACAGTGCCCTATTTTTTTTTTTTTAGTATTTTATTTATTTTTATTTTATTTGTATGGGTGTTTTGCCTGCATGTATATCTGTATACCACATGTATGCAGTTCCCACAAAGGCCAAAAGAAAGCATCAGGTCCTCTGGAACTGGTGTTACAGACAGTTGAAAACTGCCATGTAGGCGCCAGGAACCGAACCTGGGTCTTCCGGTCTCCTAACCACTGAGCCATCTCCCCAGCCCCAAGGAAGTGTCTTATGCAGCGGGGACTACACTCAAACTCACTGTGTATCCCTCCCCTCCTTCCTCCCAGGTACTGGGCACAGGCATGTGCCACAAGGCATTGCATGATTCCGTTCATATTACAGAATTTTACAGCTGAGAAAATAGTGTGGGCATGAGGAGGAGGGGAAGTTGTTTCTGTAACCAGAAGCGATACAGATACACACTGGAAAGTTTCCTTTTGTGTTCACGGAGTTTTCCCTGTCTTTGACATCTTACAAAACCATGGAGCTTTATCAAAACTAAGACGTCAGTAGTGGTGCAGTATTACTTATTATTATTACAGATTTTATTTAGAATTCCCCAACCTTTTTTTTTTTTTTTTTTTTAACTATTTTTCCCCCTATTCCCATGTTAAAGTAGCAAAAAGGCCTTTTTAGGGAAAATTTCCAGTCAAGAGAATCAGTGGCCTGGGTAGAGACGTCCCATTCCAGCTGTGCTGGGTCAATCACCTGGCCAAGGGGTCACCTTTAGGAAGGTGGGTTCACCTTGAGCATTGCTAGACAGAGAGGTGGGAAAATTAGCCCCTTAATGAGAGACACTTTCTTCCCAGAATTCCCTCTCTGGTCCAGGCCTTCCTAGCTGAGCAGTCCTGAGGTTCTGCCGGGGGAATAAAGGTGCACTTTTTCCTTTTTCTCCTGTCTTTTCTTTCTGTGGCTGGCCAGAGCATGAGTATGCTTTTTAGTGAGACGTGGAGTTTCCTTAGTCTTTCCTCTGGAGTCCCCCTCCCCACCTTGTGGCTGTCTGCTGCCAGGTAGCTGCCTCCTCTGCTGGCCTGACTCTCAAGGGGCCATGGCGGTTTCCACTTCTCCCCTCCATCCTCCTCCTCGGGAAAGCTGCCGAGATTTACAGCTTGCCTGCCCTGGCATGTTTTTCTTTTAAACTCTAATAAAGGTGTCCTTGAGCTTCTAATTGAATTCATTCTGAAATTCTTTGACTAATGAGACTAAGAACTTGGAGCGGATCCCAATCTCCCCCATCCCAGAATCCCATATTGCACTGTCTGTTGTTGCTTGTGTTTTGAGACAGGTCTCAAGTAGCACACACTGGCCATAAACTCACCATGTCGCCAAGGATAACCTTGAACTCTTGAATCTCTTGCCTCTGGCTGGCAAGTGTTGAGACACAGGCATAACATACCGGTAGGTAATTTTGGGGGCAAGGGGTGTTTGTTTGCTTGGTTTGGGTTTTCAAGACAAGGTTTCTCTGTGTAACAACTCTGACTGTCCTGGAACTCGCTTTGTGGACCAGGCTCA